GTTCTACCAGCACCATTTGTTAAAGAAGTATTTATTAATATCTCTTTCCCATTTAATGGGTTTCTGCTCTTTGGAAAACACCATCTGTGTCTAGATGGATGGATTTGCTTCTGAGTTCTCAGTTATGTTCCTTTGGTCTGTGTGTCTGTCATTGTACAAATACCAGGCTGTTTTGATGACTGTGGCTATGTAGTAGGGTTTGAGATTGAAAGTGTGAGGCCTCCTATTTTGTTCTTCTTGAGTAGCCTTTGCTTATCTGGGCTCTCTTTCCTTTCCATATAAAGTTAGTGATTAGTTTTCTATATAGTTACGGAATGATAGGACCAGGATTGTAATAAATTTGTAGATTGCTTTGGGGTATATTTTCACAATGTTGAGCATGGTATATTTTTCCTATTTGTGTAGGTCTCTTTTAGCTTCTTATAATGCTGTTTTATAGTTTTCTTTGTACAGGTCTTTTGCATCTCTGGTTAGATTTAGTCCTAGTACTTCATCTTTTGGGTGGCTGCTGTAAATGCTATTGTGTTCTTGATTTCTTTTTTTAGAGGTCTCTTTGTTAGTGTAGAGGAATCTGATTCATTTTATTTGTTGATCTTGTGCCCTGCAACTTTGCTGAATCTACCTATTAATTCTAGTAGTTTTCTTGTTGAATCTCTGGGATTTTTATTTATAGGATTATAACATCTGCAAATAGAGATAACTTTACTTCTTCTTTGCCAATGTGGATGATTTAGTTTTTCTTGCCTTATTGCTCTCATTGGTACTTAACAACAGCAACAAGAACTTCCAATACAATATTGAATAGGAGTGGTAACAAATGGCTTCCTTGTCTGGTTCCCATTTGCAGAGAGAATGCTTTCCATCTCTCTCCATTGATACTAATGTGTATATACCTATATGGTTAATTTCTTTTAGAAAGATCAGCACAAGGCTGGTCCCTATGAGTTGAAGGCTAAGTTATCCCAACTGTTCAATTTTTCTGACATGTTATGACTTCCATAGTCTTTGATATCAATCACTACTCCCCTCTTCCTTCAAGTCCCATAGTTCTGCTACACACTGTAACATCTCAAAAAGCTCACAGTTGTCAAAAAAATGGGTCATGCAATTGTGTGGAGGCTAGAAGGTCCCAAATCTGTAATTCAGAGATCAGTCTGAGGGAATCTTCCCACCCATGTAGTCTCAAGACCTCAAAATGGCGGGTCACATGACAAAT